GGAACAGGCCGGGCCGGGCTGGCGACGCGCACCGTATACTTGGTGCGAGTGGCAGGAACAGGCCGGGCCGGGCTGGCGACGCGCACCGTATACTTGGTGCGAGTGGCAGGAACAGGCCGGGCCGGGCTGGCGACGCGCACCGTATACTTGGTGCGAGTGGCAGGAACAGGCCGGGCCGGGCTGGCGACGCGCACCGTATACTTGGTGCGTGGAGCAGGGACAGGCCGGGCTGGGCTGTCGACGCACACCGTAGGCTTGGTGCGTGGAGCAGGGACTGGCCGGACTGGGCTGGCGACGCACACCGTAGGCTTAGTGCGTGGAGCAGGGACAGGCCGGACCGGGCTGGCGACGCACACCGTAGGCTTGGTGCGTGGAGCAGGGACAGGCCGAACCGGGCTGTGGAGACGGATAGGAGCCCTGGAGTGAAGAGCGGCCACAACCCGTCCTGGCTGAATGCCTACCCTCACACACTCTGTGTGAGGCATCCGCACAGGACGTACAGGGCGGTGTATCCGTAACCTGGTGGCCTCCAGAATCCGCCCCTTTTTTGCCTCAGTCAGCCCCGTCGTCCATGCCGTGTGCCCCCCCCTAAAAATGTTCTGGGGTTGCCTCTCGACCGCCCGACGACGACCCTGATCACGCCGTTGCTCCTCTCTACGGCGCGCCTCCACCGTCTCTTCTCCCGGCGCTTCCTCCCATGTCCAGTCCAAGACCTGCCCCTGGACACGCTGCTTGGTCGTTGCATGGTGGGTTTTTCTGTCACGATCGTCAGGGAGAGACCAATGCGCAGCGTGATGAACGAACATACTTTAATTAGTTAAAGTGTAAACACAATACAAAACAAGAAACGACTCGTGAAGTCCACGGTATCAATGACCTTACACGGAACAAAAACCCACAAACACAAAGGGAAAACAGACAGTTTAAATATGGCTCCCAATCAGAGACAACCAGCCAACAGCTGACACTCGTTGCCTCTGATTGGGAGTCACTCAGGCAAACATAGAAATCAACAAACTAGAACCCCCAACATAGAAATAAACACATAGAATAAACACACCCTGGCTCAACAAATAGAGTCCCAGAGCCAGGGTGTGACAATTACTTTTTTCTACAAGAGGATTTGGAGTTGAGCATGTTCTCTATCTTCACTTAGTGTGTGCACTATCTTACCGCCACATTTTTCATTAGTCAAAATGCTCTTTCGTAACCTGTTGATTGGAACTGGGCAAACAGGTCACTTGTGTACAGTCAGTTGTGGAAAAAGTACCATTAAAGATACCTTAATAGAAAATGACTCATGTAAAAGTGAAAGTCACCCGGTAAAATACTACTTGAGTAAAAGTCTAAAAGTATTTGGTTTTAAATATACCTAAGTATCAAAAGTAAATGTAATTGCTAAAATATACTTAAGTATCAAAAGTAAAAGTAAAACTATAAAAAATCCTTATATTAAGCAAACCAGACGGCACCATTTTCTTGTTTTTAAAATGTAGGGATAGCCAGGGGCGCACTCCAACACAGACATAATTTACAAACGAAGCATGTGTGTTTAGTGAGTCCGCCAGATCAGAGGCAGTAGGGATGACTAGGGATAAGTGTGTCTGTCCTGCTAAGCATTCATAATGTAACGAGTACGTTTGGGTGTCAGGGAAAATGTATGGAGTAAAAAGTACATTATTTTCATTAGGAATGTAGTGAAGTAAAAGTAAAAGTAGTCAAAAATATAAATAGTAAAACAGATACCCAAAAAAACTACTTAAGTAGTACTTTAAAGTATGTTTACTTAAGTACTTTACACCACTGTGTACAGTATAGTAGTGCTGTGTCGGCAGAGCATGGGGAATGTTCTAGACCTCACATTCAATGAGGTGCCATTTGTTGTCTTGTTTGTTTGTTGCCATGTGTGCAGCCTTTGGTTTTGAAGTGCGGTGGCGTGTGTAATCATCAGCTTTAATTCCTGTCTTAATGACATAGATTACAATGGACTTGACGGACAGTCTCTGTACTGCTGAGTTTGTTTTGGTTCCCTACAGCTACAGTACATTGAATTGAGCTGTGCATTACTACTGTTCCTGTGCCTTCATCTCATTCAGAACATATCATTGACAAAACTCTAAAACATACAGTATATTAGAATTCTTCTTATCTGGGATCATTTTCTAACACTTGAACAATAGATTGTGCTCAGATTTGCTTACATAACATTTTACCAGTGTATTTTGTCTTTGCAGGAATCTCAGGTCATGATTGGCCAGCAGAAGCTTCTCCTCCTGTGGGCATGGATGTTGCTGGTGGCAGCGCTGTACCCAGGTGTCCTATGCAAAGGCTGGGGTGGATTCAGGGGCTGGGGAAAGAGTGTAGGGGTGGGAGGCAAAGCGCCCACCTCTCAGAGCGGTGGCTCCTCCAGACAAGGGCTGAAGATGGCAGAGGCAGCAGCCACCGGGGCACTGGGTGGGGCTGCCATTGAATACAGGCTGGGGTCACTCGGTAGGCCAAGACATGGCTACGGGGGGGTATGGCTACGACGCATTCTCATCTGAGGAGGACCAGAGATTCTACAATCCTGAAGGCCAAGTGCTTCACAACCAGTCTGACTGGTGCCGCTACAGAAACACTGCTGGTCCCGGACATGGCCCCATGAGTAACATCCTCCTCACACTGGGATCAATGGTGCCTTTCTTCTTAGGGGACTGGATGAGGGGCATCTGGTCATAAACCATTTCCTTGGAAGTGGATTCTATCTGAATTACTGGTCCGAAAGACTAGTGAGTGGACTGAATTTGAATTCAAACTCATTTTGAATAAGTCCTGATCTTGTTGTCCTTTGGCATAGGCCCACCACCCTTTACAAAGCTATACTCATAGGAACTTCATTAGGGAGGGGGGCTCCTGTCATATTGTGTTGTAAAATCATGTGTCACTTGTCACTGTCAAAGATCCTTTTTCAGCTTCATCCACTGTAATAACTGGATTAACTAAATTAGGATGCTGCCAATATGTTCCTATTAAGATCTACTTTGCTGTGATTTTGATAATGTTATTACTCATATTTGGTCATTGCAATAAATGTGTGATTATTCACTGGCTTTTATATCTGCAAAAAGCAAACATATGTTTTTTAAATTTAATATTATTTTCTATGGATTTGGTAATATGGGATTCTTCACAATGCTTGATTGATCTACTCTGGTCCACTAATAAAATGTAGATTTGTGTGTGTGTGTGTTGCTTTATTACGCTCATGTTCATTATGATGCATGTGACAGTAGTTAAGTTCAGGACCAAATAGAGACAACATGGATAAGTATAGGAGGAGCAGTAAATATTAAATAAAGAGTGTTTCCCTCCGCATTTGGATTAAATAAATAATAAAAGAATGTAAGGAAATCTCAACATAGTACTTTCAAATATAAGCCTTGTGTGCAAGGCTTCTGCGAAGAGAAAACATGTTTTTTTTTAACGTATCCCAGAAACACAAAAACTGGTTTTGATTGAATAATAGGGCCTTAGCTCACAATAAAATACATGTTTTTGTGTATGAGATGACTTGAGATCTTTGTGTTCTGTTGTAAAGATAGCTTAAGGATCATTTAACAGACAGTAATGGGAATTGTAATGCTGCAACTAGCAGGCAGAAACCCTGTCTGTTCGATTTTCTCACAGTAGTGACTGTTCTGTAACAATTTCCCTTGAGGCAATTAGACTCCTAGCAACAGATGTGTCTTTTAAAGCTTCAATGTGCTCTGTGAGATTGTCACGGTAACTGCCTTCATGTTTTTCTAAAGAGAGAATGGCTGATCATGTGTTTTATTTAGTTTTTATTCATCCTGTACCTGGAAGAATACATCAGTCAGATTTCAGCAATATTTAAAGGCCAAGTAACATTCACCATTTAGTTCTAGCATGGCAAAGTGGTTATTTTAAAGTTCCAAAACACATTAAAAGAATGCATGTTGTATGTTCCTCACTAAATACATGCTTGGGAAAAAAGGAAAAGAGTCGTTTATATCCATTCGGCAAGAGAAATAAGTGCACTTCTGATAACCAGGGGACAGGAGGACATGGAGAGGGAGACTAGATGGGGAGGTAGAGAGGTATGGGACAAGGTAATAGGACATTTTTTAACCAATTGCTGCAGACCACATAAGATGGACCCTTTACAGTACAAATATAAACATCACAGCAGAGTATAATGTACCGTTTAGTTCACAAAAAAACATTTCTGACCAAATTGATTTCCAGCTAATATCTGGCAGACAGGTGACATAATGCTTTATGTAACGTGGAACCACACTGGCAAAAGACACTGAATCCCCAGTCAGGTGATAGCTTCCTTATTTCATGTTCTATCACATAATAACACATAACAGGTTACAATTGGCTAAAATTGAAATTGGTTAGTGCCTACGTACAACCTGATAGATATCCAGAGTCAATAGAAAGCTTTATACTGTATGTCCTTGTAGTGTTTGTGTGTTAGTGTTATATACAGAGATATATCGTAATAGATACACAGATACAATATTAAAGCATCATGCATTTGGCATGACCTGACCAAATTAGTGTTTTACAGAACAAAATACAGTGATCAACAGAGTATTCTACCAGAAACTGCTCTGAAACAATGCAATGAAAAAATAAGTGCAATAGAAAAGAAGTCTAGAAGTACTACAGCGAAGATCCAAATTGACAGGGGATCAGTGCAAATGTTAGAGACACAAATGAGATGGGCCATTAGACAAACAGTAAAACTATATTTAAGCTCAAATGTCCCCATACAATGTGGAGGAAATTGACCTTATCGTGCACCTGTGTCCCTGGAAGTTATTTTCCACTGACTTCCTTTCCATCATAATGACACCTGATAAGTGAAAGGAGTGGTTATATCTCCACCTTACTTATTTAACCTATTCTCACAAGATATCAGTGGCATGATGAGGAAGGGGGACTATGAAATGAAGCTATTCCAGACAACAGGGACACACCTAATGTATGTCTCAGTGCAGCAGAAGAGTGCTGCTCAGGACCATGAGGAGGCTGGTTATCAGCTGTACCAGCCCCTGACCGAGGGGGTTGCTGCGACTGTTCAGATTTTTGTTGTTGTTGTTGTTGCTGCCGCTGCTGCTGCGTTCAGCTGTCTGCTTCTCCAGGAAGATCTCTGAGTAGTTTATGTACAGCTCCACACACTTCCGGTTCTTCAGCTGCTCCACCAACGCAGGGTAACCAATCTCTTCAATGCTCACTGTGGGGCCGTCAACCTCCTCCTTATCTTCTCCAGCTATCTCCCCAGGAGCAGGGGTGAGAGGCTTCACTTTGTCTGTTCCCTCCTGGTTGCTAGCTGGACTGCTGTTCCCCACCTCAGGAGTGATGGGTATGCTCTGGCTGTTGGATCCCTGGGGGTTGTTCATCTGGTTGTTAGGTGTGGCCTGGGAGTCTCTGCCCTGGTCCTGCAGAAGGTCTTTTCTCTTCATGCAGGTATCCATGAAGCTGTCGTAGGACTCTGCCCGCGGTGGTACTTTGTAGGTGTAGTCCCGGCCATAGTCGTTTTCGTCTGTGGAGCGTTCGCCGTATTTGCTGTACATGTAGTTGTTGTAGGACTGCTCCTCCTGAGGGTTGCGGAAGTTGAAGTGTGGACGAGGGAAACGCCCAAGGCCATAGCCAACCGCCATACCTGCCACGGCCCCAACCCCTGCAGCCATAAGAGCCTTCTTAGCAAAGCCCTTGGACTGAGTAGAGGGGTAGTGTCCCATACCCTGAACTGAGCGTGAGAAGGGAGAGCCACCTCCCATACCTCCGTGCCCACCTCCATAACCATAGCCTCCACCATAGCGGGGACTGAGGATCTTATTGTTTGGGTTCCAGTTGGGTTGGTAACCTCCTCCCATCCCTCCACCAGGGTAGCCCCCTGCCTGCCCCCAGCCAGTATTTCCCCCTCTTACTGGGTAACCTCCAGCTGGGTAACCTCCGGCTGGGTATCCCGGATTGACTCCTCCTCTCCCTGGGTTCTGGTTGGGGTAGCCTCCTGCTGCAGGATAACCACCAGCTGCAGGATAACCACCCGCGGCGGGGTAACCTCCAGCTGCTGGGTTCTGGTTAGGATATCCCCCAGGATTTGCCCGGCCTGGATACTGCTGGTTGGGATAGCCACCTGCTGCAGGATTGCCACCAGCAGCTGGGTAACCTCCAGCTGCAGGATTCTGGTTTGGATATCCCCCAGGATTGGCTCTGCCTGGATACTGCTGGTTGGGATAGCCACCTGCTGCAGGATAGCCACCAGCGGCTGGGTAACCTCCAGCTGCAGGATTCTGGTTTGGATATCCCCCAGGATTGGCTCTGCCTGGATACTGCTGGTTGGGATAGCCACCTGCTGCAGGATAGCCACCTGCAGCAGGGTTTTGGTTAGGATATCCTCCTTGGTTGGTTCCCTGGCCTGGATACTGCTGGTTGGGGTTTCCACCTGCTGCAGGGTATCCACCGGCTGGGTTCTGGTTCTGATTGGTACCTCTCCCTGGATAACTACCTCCTGCTGGGTACGGGTTGGGGTTCCTGTTGGGGCTCTGGGGTTGTCTGGGGTAGCTTCCCGTCTGTGTGTTTGATGTTTTCGGCGGATTTTTTTCTGAGCCCCTGTTGTTGGATGATGTCTTTTTGCTGCTACTGCTGCCACTTCTCTTGGCCCATGTAGAGTCAGTATGAAGCAGAGCCAGGAAGGCCAGAGACACCAGGGCCAGCTCACACAGCTTTCCCATGATGACTGCCCTGGAAAAAAATATGATGATGTCATTAACAGTAAGTACTTGGACCAATATTTTTTCTGAAGCCTCATCTCGTTATTCCTGTTGACTTAAAACTGAGCTAACCCTCTCATGTCACTGACACTCCTGTCACTGACTGTATAATTGATTTGCTTAATTAGTTTTCTGGATATCAAATATAAGCCAAAGCCTACCATGTTCTGTTGCCAGAAGATTAACCTTAAAGTAGCCTAACAGAAAATTAATGTAACATAATATTATTAGGGACAAGATTTCCCTGATTGTTCAATAGGCTGCATAGAATTCCAGAGAATTCCCGCAGTTAGGCCTATCTTTTTCAGCTTTTATTTAGGCTAATCAGTAGGCTAAACATAATAAAATAGGCTACCACGGTGCCATAAAAGCCAACAAATATCCAGGGGCAGTTTGGCAGTTTTATTAAAAATAAAATATGACATAGGCTATATATAATTTGCTTAATTCGTTTTCTGGATATCAAGTATAAGCCAACGCCTACCCTGTCCTGTTGCCAGAAGATTAACCTTAAAGTAGCCTAACAGAAAATTCATGTAACATAATATTATTAGGGACAATATTTCCCTGAATGTTCAAAACGCTGCATAGAATTCCAGATAATTCCAGCAGTTAGGCCTATATTTTTCAGCTTTTATTTAGGCTAATCAGTAGGCTAAACATAATAAAATAGGCTACCAAGGTGCCGTAAAATACAACACATATCCAGGGGCAGCTTGGCTGTTTTATGAAAAATAAAATATGACATAGGCTATATATAACTGGACGTGAAGGCAAATTACGCTATATGCGCAGTTCTATTTTTCGGAACCGGACCCGATATTCGCATATTATGTTACGGTCTTTTTCAATAAAATGGCGCTCTAGCGCTTTTACGCAGGACAGCCCGGGCTGTATGGTCACCTGCTACTCCTTTATAACTAATGTGAATATCGTAAAATAACCTACCGTTGGTGATTCGAGACGATTCTGTACCCTTTGTAGAAAAGTAGTATTTTTCATCCGTTTCTCTGTTATGGTTCTGTCGTTCGCTCACTACTTTCAATCGGAGGGGAGGTGTTCCTATTTATCACCGCACATAGGCTAGCCTGGCTACGTCAGTCATCATGGCATTACTAGCTATAATAAGTTTCATGTTTTACAAACAAAACCACATTTTCTTACCTTACACAAGAAATTGAACTATATTTTAAGACAATTAAATACTCTACCAACAAAAAAGCTGTTAGAATTATACATGTGTGTATGCCCCTTAAGATCCTTGTGTAATGTGATATTGTCCCCCTAGCCCAGGGTTTCCCAAACGCGGTTCTGGGGACCCCAAGGGGTGCACATTTTGGTTTTTGCCCTAGCACTACACAGCTAATTCAAATAATTAACTAATCATCAAGCTTTGATTATTTGAATCAGCTGTGTAGTCCTAGGGCAAAAACTCAAACGAGCACCCCATGGGGTCCCCAGGACCGAGTTTGGGAAACGCTGCCCTAGCCCAATTGTCCTTTGTATAGTCTTTATATATAATAATAATAATAATAATAATAATAATAATAATAATAATATGCCATTTAGCAGACACTTTTATCCAAAGTGCCTTACAGTCATGTGTGCAAAATTTTTACGTATATATACTTGTGTTCCCCCATGTACTTTTTGTATTGATTTGTTGTTAATAATAATATATTTTTTCATGCTTGCTGAGAGAATGCGAAGACTGTGCTAAGCTGTCATCAAGGCAAAGGGTGGCTATTTGAAGAATCTCAAATATAAAATATATTTTGATATGTTTAACAATTTTTTGGTTACTACATGATTCCATATGTATTATTTCATTGTTTTGATGTCTTCACTATTATTCTACAATGTAGAAAGTAGTAAAAATAAAGAAAAACCCTTGAATGAGTAGGTCTGTCCAAATCTTTGACTGGTACTGTATGTAGGCTGTTCATGAAGCGCTGATGTGTAGCCTAGATCAGGGGTTCCCAATGTGGGGTCCGCGGACCTCCAGGGGGTACTGCAGGAGGTCCATGGCCAGATCTCAAAATATAAAATAAAAACATGTAGGACAACAATAATTTGTTCATGAATATTGCTAGCAACAACAGATTAAACAAATTTTGGACAAGGGATCCGTGGAAAACGTTTTGGTGCAATACAATGTAGGCTAATATTATTCATCCACAATTTATGTTCTTAACCCTTAAAGCTCAGACGCATAGGGTTGTCAAATCTTTGCCTGCCGACAGTACTTAGCACCTCTTAGTCTCGACAGTCAATTTATTTTGTGTTCACACAGCAAAGACCTTGCAAGTCGTCAGCCTTGTTAAAATACTCCAAACCAGAAGTTGGCAATAGCTTTGTTTGGCAATGCATATCAGTGCGTATTGCTTATGGTCTAGATTCCAAGCTATCTGCGCCAATGTTGCTATTTTGCAGAAAGACCCTTGTTGATACTAGCCAGATGCCCACAGCTATATAACTACCTAGCAAGATGACGAGGAAACAATTTAATTCACTCTCCATAATCGCATACTGCCAGTGCCAGCCCATAGCCAAATGTTTAGCTAGCTAGCTAACGTTAGCATATTTGCTAAATAGCTAAGGACACTAACTCGACAGTTAACACATGCAGCTGTTTCATGGAAACTAGCTAATCCTGTGATTTAATTATAATGTCAATACTAGCTACAGTGGTTAGCTAGCTTGGAGAAAGTATTTAATATTGTGTGTATTGCATCTGTGCACTTAGCTAGCTACCATCCCATAGCCTACATAGAGCTCGCCAGCTTGTAGTCCTAAAATCCGGAAATGACTGGTTCGTTCAGCCATTCCTATGGGGAAAATTAATGTGGAAAGAATAGGGTTTGGGGATGAACGCCGAAAATAAGGTCTGAGATTAACAGAGGCTTAGAAGATCTAATACGTTTTGTTCTATGAGATAATATCAGTCAGTTATAGCATGACCTTTATGAATTATGAAGCCTTTATGTGCTTTTTTTAAATTACATAAATGCTTTACAATTTTACAAAAAGTGACATTGGCTGATAAAGATTATCTCACAGGATATTGGTATCCACAGTACTCCAACTTAATTCTTCTTGTATTCCCAAACATTTTTGTTTTGAACATAATGCACTGTAATTCAATCTTTAAAACAGCAAAATGTTATCTCTTCCCCAAGGCAAACATTTGTAGAATTGCAAAAAATTCCTTTAAAGCTGCAACATCTTCTCTCTGATGCGAAGACAGGGGCCTTTAAAATGTTCTTTCCCAGGGCCTGTCTTGCTTAGTCTGGCCATGCACTGCAGAAGTAATTGTACAACTTTTATTGCACTCTATGGACAGTGGAGACGTCATAATACCCATAAAACCTAGCAGTCAAACACAGAAATATTCAAATCATTTTTTCACTATTCATTTTTCCCATAGGGGATTTTAAAACCACTTCAAATAAGGTCTGTGTTTCATGTAGGCTTTCTCTGACGTGACGTTTTGACAACAGTGTAAATCTCTCTCGGACAAGGTGACTTTTATCAATATATTCGGCTCCATTTACTTTCAGATTCGAAAATTCTAATTTGCATCAAAGTAGACATAATGCAAGACTACAAATCCCTGCAAGTTCCTGCATGTCATCTCTAGCTAGCTACTACCTACCTTGATCCAAAATGAAAGATATATTGAACATTTTCATTTATTGTTCCATATTTGATATAACTAATATTTGTTGGCTTGTTTATGAATTTGGTTATGTCTTTTACAGAATACTATCCTAGTAGCAGTCAGATATTTACAATGTGCCATGAATACCAGGCTAGTTTTTTGCAAAGAAGCTAGCTAGCTACCTACATGATATTAGCAACATACCTTTATTTTACCAGATCCTTTTCTCCTTCAGCTGGTGGAGGAGTATACCAAACATTATGAGGATCTTCCTAATATTGAGTTACAAATGGAGAAAAACTGGATGTGTAAGGTAGGTTTAATATAAAATACTAAGTTAACTCCAGCAGAATGACAAACACACTTAACAGACCCAAAACAAGGAAGCCATGCCTAAACACAGCTATATCAACACCATTCTTGTCAATTTAACACTGTC